TTTGTCAAAACAATGTGGGTGGGTCGCGGGTTGGGTCGCAGGTGGGTCGCGGGTGGGTCGCGGGTGGGTCGCGGGTGGGTCGCGGAGTGGGTCGCGGGTGGGTCGCGGTTGGGTCGCGGGATTGGTCGTGGAGTGGGTCGCGGGTGGGTCGCGGGTGGGTCGCGGAGTGGGTCGCGGGTGGGTCGCGGTTGGGTCGCGGGATGGGTCGCGGGTGGGTCGCGGGGTGGGTCGCGGGTGGGTCGCGGGGTGGGTCGCGGGTGGGTCGCGGGGTGGGTCGCGGGTGGGTCGTGGTTGGGTCGCGGGGTGGGTCGCGGGGGGGACGACGCAACAAAACAAGCAGAATCCTCGCCGTGGGTCCCCACTTCAGCCACGCACCCAGGGACAGTGAATGACCGTTCGGCCCCCTCACCTTGGTATGTGTGTATGTGTGTGTGTGTGTGTCTATGTGTGTATATATATACACATATAAGCACATATGTGTACACACACATGGCGGATCCCAGAAAGTCTGAGCCTAAAAACGTTGTCATCTCTTGGGGGCGCATCTTTTACTGCCGCAGCCTTCCGCCGAGCTTCCGCCGGCTTCCGCCGAGGAAGAGATGGCAACTCCTTCGATCCTCGAGGGTAGGGCCATTTTTTGGAACGCCCCCCCTATCTATATGTATGTGTATACATATATATATATATATATATATATATATACACATACATATTCATGTATCTCTCTCTGTGTGTGTGTGCGTGTTTCAAAATAATGAACGATAGAGAAGCGAGATATCGGCACAGCAGGAGAGGTTCGCAAAATAATGAAAGACAGAAAAAGAAAGGGGAATAATGAACATCCACCCCATAGCACGGGAACGCTCAGAAACCCAGTCGGACCCCGGCCCCCCCCCGCCCACAGCCCAACAAAAATCCCGAGGGCCCCCCCGAGGGGCTCCCGAGGGGCCCCCGAGGACCCCCACAGGACCCCCGAGGGCCCCCGAGGGCGGCGCGAGGCGGAAGGGGAGAGAAGGGAGCGGAGGGAAGATCATGGTGGAAGGGGAGGAGGCGGAACAAAAGGGGAGGAGGGGGAGGGGGGGGGGGAGGATTGGAAGAAGAAAAAGCGCCAGAAGCATAAACTTTTGGGCGCTCCGCGCGGGTGTCTTGGATCTGCGCTGGACCCCCCCCTCCCTGGCGCGCCGAGCGCGCCAGGGGCGGCGCACGGAGGCGCCGCCGGGGGGAGCACAGCGCGGATCCAAGAAATCCGCGCGGAGCGCCCAAAGTTTGTGCTTATGGCGACTTTACTTCTTCGAGGGATGGGAGAGGGCGGGGGGGGGGGGGAGCCAAAGGGACTCCTGCGGGGGGAGGAGGTCGGGGCGCCCCCGCCCGGGCGGCCCGCCATCTGCTGGAGCCGCGCCCCCTTCGGGGGGCTGTTCGACAGCTTCGTCACGCTCGGGCCCGCGAGCGCCGCCGGCTGCCTGCGGGCGCCCGCCAAGGCCAAGGCCGAGGGCGGCCCTCGCCAGACGCTGGGCGTTGGATGTCTGGGCAGTGCCCCCTCCTCCCTCCCTCCTCCTCCCTCCTCCTCCTTCCCTCCTCCTCCTCCTCCTTCGCTCTCACCATACCCTTCCCCCCTTCCCCCCCCTCCCCCCCTCATTCCTCTTCCTCCTCTCCTCCTCCTCTCCTCCCGCCTCCCTCCTCCTCCTTTTTCCTTCCTCCTTCCTCCTCCTCCTTCCTCCCCCCTCCACCTCCTCCTCCTGCTCCTTCTCCTCCTCCTGTTCCTCCTGCTCCTCCTCTCTCCTCCTCCTCCTCCTTCTCCCTCACTCCTTCTCCCTCCCTCCTTCTCCCTCCAGCCCTCCCTCCCCTCCCTCCCTCCTCCTCCTCCTCCTCCTCCTCCTCCTCCTCCTCCTCCTCCTCCTCCTCCTCCTGAAGGCCGAACGTCGCGGCAGGCCGGGCGCCTCAACTTTTACGAGGCGCCGGATGTCTGGGTTTGGGGGTCGCACGTCCACGCTTGGACTGCTCGCCGGGTGCGGCCTGACCAGGAGGTCGAGGCGCATGCAGCCGTGGCGGCGAGGACCCCCCCCCGAAGGGGCGCAAGAAGGGCCGACCCCTCGCGGCCCGACCCCTGCAAGCCGCGCCCCGACGCGGCGGAGGGGGCCGCCCGAAGACGCTCAGACGACCTCGAGGACGACGGCGCCGACGACGACGACGACGACGACGCCGACGCCGACGACGAGGACGACAATGACGACGACGACAATGACGAAGGGGCGCCGACCTGGAATCGGCGCCACATCGCCACTGGACCTGCGATGTGGGCCTCCGATTGGCAGCAAAGCGCGCGCGCGCGCTTCTCCCCTGGGGCGGGGCGGGCGGTGGAGCCCCCCCCCCCCTTCTGCGGCGAGTGGGCGGTCTGGGGGCCGCCTTGGGTCGGGCGTGTCCCCCACATACAGGCGGATTTTGGAGGGAAAGTCAAACAAACCATACAAATGCGAACATAGCCCCCGAACATCAAAAAATACACAAACATAGCCAAACAATACGCAAACATACTAGCCAAAGCATCAAGCATACGCAAGACTAGCAAAATACGCAAGCATAGCCAAACAAATGCGCAAACATAGCCAAAACATCAAACATACTCAGAGATAGCAAAGTGCCTCCCTGCGCTGCCTCTGGCGCACTCTGCGCGCCAGCACTAGGTCGGGCATGTCCCCCTGCAGGCGGATCTTGGACGACAAATCGAACAGACCCCAAACAATACGCAGCACAAGTCGAAACGTAAAGCAATTCGCCCCCTGACATTTTCGTGTGACTATTTGAAGATTCCTCCTGTCGAGGGACACGCCCGACGTAAGGGTCGATGCGTCCCCCCGCTGAGCCCATCCCTCCCTGACTTTGCGCCTGCTCACCGTCGGCGTCGGGGTCTCGGGCTGGCCAACGACGCGAAGTCCGCTCCTCGACCCCCCGCCCCCCCCCCCCCGGAGGAGGGCGCGCCGACGCGCTTGGGGGCCCGCCTGCTCCCTGCACTTGCGCCTCCTCCCCGTCCTCCTCCTCCTCCTCCCTCCCCCTCCCCCTCTTCCGCCTCCCCTTCCCCCCCCCCCTCCCCCTCCTCCTTCTCCTGCTGCTCCTCCTCCTGCGCGTGTCTTGCACTGCGCTCGGGCGCACCTCGGGCAGGAGCGCACCGGTGCGGCCTCTCGCCTTCGGCCGTCCGAACGTGGCTGCAGGGGGCCTTCCTGACCACCTGGTTTTAGGTCGGGCATGTCCGCCTACAGGCGGATCTGAGGCGAAGAATGACAAGTGGTAGAGATTGGTAGAACAGAGTCAAAAATGATCAAACATCGCCCCCATACTATTTTGTTTCTATGTTCAATTCTTCCTGTAGATGGGCACGCCCGATATACACCTAGGACCTAGTCCACGCCTGGGAGCAATGCCTGCAAAGCGTGGCAGACTGAGGAGTATCTTCAGAAGTAGGTGCGCTGAAGGCAATACCTGCAACAACAGACTTTGCAATGGCAAAGATCGAAGGAGGGATATTCAACTGGACATGGGTGGGGATGAACATCATGAGCTCGCTATCCACAGCGCTGCTCTACACTTCCACTGCTGCCTCCGCTGCTGCGAAATCTTCCGCAGGCGCCAATTCAGCAGCAGCTTGGACAAGCAGGGAAGAAGTCAGAATTGTAGCTGTCACGCTGTGGGGCTCTTGCAAATGCGCCGCTTACTCGATCGCCCAGAGGATGCCATCCAGGAAGAGCAGTGCCGGAGTTGCGGCTGCTATGGTCGCCAATTTGACCATCGTTCGAACCTCCATCATCATTGCCGGCAAATTGTAACAAGCCTTGAACTTGAACGGTCCGCTTGGACTTCCGTCTCTTCGCCCGTCTCGACGTGTGTTATTAATCTGTGGATCACCCCCGTCTTTCTGCGTCAAATCTTCTCGCCGAGCCCGTTCTCTTCGAGGAGCGCGTGGAGCTTCGCCTTGGTAGTGATCTCCGCCAACTTCTCGGTGCAAACTTCTGGTTCCACTGGCCATTCGCCGTGCGGCCCATTCGGATCATTGGGGTTGAACATCTCGCCGAGAAACGCCTTCGTCACGGAGATCACCAGCGCGGGGGCAACACAGTCTCGGCGGCCTCGCGGCGGCCGGACCCCCTCTGGAGATGGCAAGACGGTGGAGTCTTCTCTGCCCGCCTCCAGCACCTGCGTTGTCCTTGCCGCTTGCACGCAGATTTCGCCCAGGGCGTCGTCGAAGCTCCTCTTCGCCCAGGCCTCGGTCTCGTTCTCGAAGGCGCGGACTGACTGCTGGATCAAAGCCACAATTTTGGCGTCCACCTTGGAACTCGCAGCGGTCGGAGAGGCGTTCTGCTGCTGCGTTGGCTTCAAGACCCGGGCGAAGATGGCTGCAACCTGATCCTCTTGCAGCGCCTGCTGCGAACTTGCCACCGTCATGCTCTGGGCCTGGATGGCCGCCTGGACTTGCTTCATGATGCCGCCGGCATCGTCGTCATTGTTGTCGGAGCTCTCAAGCGCCGGTTGGGCTGCCGCCTTTGCGAGCCTCAGGACGTGGAAGGGGCAGCCTTTGCCATGAAAGTTATTTCTTGCTCCTCTGCGGCAGCTGCAGCCTCGGCTTCTGCGAACCTTGCGTTGAGCCCTTGGAGCCCTTGCAGTCCTCCTGCTGCCCTGAGCGGGGACCCAGAGTGCTTGCCGAAGGAGCTGCGGAAGGACGCTCCTGCGCCGTAGCTCTGGGCTCCCTTGCGCTGCCGCTGCTGCTCCTCCTCTTCCTCCCTTCTCCTCCTCCACGACGAGGGTCGAACAAAAAGGGGGGCTCGATCGACTCCCGACGGCCGCTCGGAGCCCGGCCCCCCGCCCCCGAGGAGGACGCGCGACGGCGACGACGGACGACGGACGGCTTGTCATGACGGAAGCGGGTCCTCAAGGAGCGGATCCTGGACCCCTGGCACCCCGAGCCAACGTCTCACGGTCCCCGGGCCCGTGGAGGACTCCGGGAGGTCCAAGATGGCGAACAGAACTCCAGGCGCGCTTCCCTCAGTACCCGTTTCTTTCATGGGCCGATGAGGTTGAGGAGGAGGAGGAGGAGGAGGAGGAGGAGGAGGAGGGGACGGTGATGACGATGGCGATGATGCTGATGATGCTGATGATGATGATGATGCTGATGATGCTTATGATGATGACGATGATGCTGATGATGATGATGACGATGATGATGATGACGATGCTGATGACAGTGATGATGAGGGTGAGGATCTTGGCAATTACGATGGCGATGCAGATGATGATGATGATGATGATGACGATGATGATGATGCTGCTGATGATGATGATGATGATGATGATGATGATACTGCTGATGATGATGATGCTGCTAATGGTGATGACGCTGATGATGATGGTGATTCTCATAATCGGCTTGCCCTATAGGAGTCCTGGCTCAAACCCTACTAAATGGTCCGTTGCCCCCCTAATTCCTATGCCCCCCCCCAATTCCTATGGCTATGCCTATTCCTATGCCGCCCCTCTAACTCCTATGCCTACGCCTATGCCTATGCCTGCTTGCTTGCTTGCTTTTTTGAACGCTTGCTTGCTTGCTGAGTTGCGGATTCCAAGCATGCTTGATTCCTCTGATTCCTTGATTTGAGTCGACGAATCTATTTGGAGTCAACGCTGGCTGATATGATGACGACGACGATGCTGATGATGCTGATGATGATGCTGATTACCATTATGTTAGTGCTGATGCTGATGCTGATGATGGTGATGATTGCGATGATGATGCTGCTGCTGTTGCAGATGATGATGCTGATGATGATTATGAGGATGATGATGATGGTGAGGCTGATTCTACTGATGCTAATGATGATGCTGATGATGAAGATGATGATGATGATGATGATGATGATGATGATGATGATGATGATGATATTGGTATTGTTTATGGGGATGCTGCTGATGATGCTGATGATGATGACGATGCTGATGATGCTGATGATGATGATGATGATGATGATGATGATGATGATGATGATGATGATGATGATGCGGATGAGGATGAGGAGGAGGATGAGGAGGAGGAGAGGGAGGAAGAGGAGGAGAATGAGGAGGAGGAGGAGAAGGAGGAGGAGGAGGAGGAGGAGGAGGAGGAGAGGAGGAGGAGGAGAACGCCAGGACGGAGGAGGAGGAGGAGGACGAGGAGGAGGAGGAGGAGGAGGAGGAGGAGGAGGAGGAGGAGGAGGAGGAGGACGAGGAGGAGGAGGAGGAAGAGGAGAAGGAGGAATAATGATAACCGCACGCGATGAGCAAGAGCAGCACAGACAACAATCGTAATAGCAGGGGGGCAGGGCGCCGCCCGGGGCATGCCTCGGGGCCTGCCGCAGCTCGGCCTGCCGCGGCGAGAGCACCAGGAACTGCCCGCCCCGCTCCTGACGGTCGTCTGCGGTCGGCGACGGCGACGACGACGACGACGACGTCGGCGACGACGACGACGACGCCGGCGGGGCGGCAGCGCGGGGCCTTGGCGAGGGGGCGGGCGCGGGGGGGAAATCCGCTCAACATCTGCCCCCCGAGCCCCTTTATGGGCCTGTCCTGGGCATCTTCGCCCTGGATCCATTTCTGACAGCCCCGGGGCCAAGAGGGCCTCTGAAGCCCGAAAGCGTCAACAAAACCATCTTCGAGCCCCGGGCCTCGAGCCCCGACGACGAAGTCGAGCGACGACGACGACGGCCGACCTCAGGATCTGTCCTGGGGTACGTTTCGGCCAGAATGTCGATGCCGAACCAGCCGCGGCCATGAGGTCGCCCCCCCGAGGCCTGGAAAGGCGCAAGAATAGGACGGGATTGATCTCATAATAAACTTCACTCAGGATGCGGATTTTCTGAATATCTAGCGGCCCTCGTTTCCGCAGCCCGTGGAAGCACTGGAAATCCTGAAACACGTCCTGACCATGACCTCCTGCTCCCTTGAGAGAATGCCAGCGACAAAATCCTCCCACAGCTTCGATCCCGACGAGCGGCGGCGGCGGCGGCCAGCGATCCGCGCGAAGGGGGCGCGCGGGGGCGGATGGGGGGAACGCGAGGGGGGGAGACCAGCCCAGTGGGGGGAGCCATGGAGCCGAAGAATCAGCAGTGCGTCGCCGATGCGTCGGCGATAGCCAACGCCCCTCCGACGGGGACGCCAAGAACGGGTACTTTGGCCAGTGGCCCGGCGAACCCAAGCCTCCCCGATGTGGGCAACGCAACCGTGCAAGAAAGAGGCCCTCGCAAGTGGCAAGTGCCGGCATTCTTCCAGCAAGCACCCGTCAGCGATTGCTCGTTGCGGCGGCGCTGAGATAGGCCCCCGACAGCGAAGCCGTCCGTTCCCGTGGGGGGGAGGTTATCGGGCCCCTCTCGGCGATGGGTGGGCGAGGGGGGGGGGCGCTGCGTCTCCCGCATGAGCGCCCTTCCCCCCCCTGTCGTTGCCCCGTGGCAGTTCGGGTCGCAGCTCGCGGTAAGATACGAGACATGACAAATCCAATGTATTTGCGATCTACTCAGTCGTCCCATTGCCGCCGCATCAACAGGATGACGCCGAGCACCGAGCTTAGCAAACTGAGAATTCCCCGTTGTAAGCCAGGCGGCCTGGGCAGGAGAAGATGCAGTGAGGTGGGCCTTCGCCTTGTGAATCTAAATGCAATCGTATCCAATGTCGGCTGGTTTCGCATGGGTGCGAACGCATATGCCCGAATGGGGACTCCAACCAGAGACGACGTGAAAAGATGGGATGCGCCACGAATCCACAGCCCACTGGCAATCGCTGTAAAAGACACATAGCTACCACTTGAGTCCGGCAATGCGTGCAGGAAGAAGACGAGCAGAGCCAACATTTCAACGCCAGGCACGCATTGATGAACACCTGGGTACGCACCGTAGGCGGCCACGCGCGCCTCACCAGATGGCCCCACCGCTACCGCGGAAAAGCCGCAGCGCAATTCTCTCGGCGAAAGGCCAGAAAGACCTGAACCGTCACCAAACACCGGAGACGCAAGTAAAGGCGCCGCGTGCGGATCACCGAAGAAGGGCCATATAATGTCCAACTCCATTGCTGGATGTGGCAGCAGCCGCTCTGGATCAGGGACTATGGCAGAATGTTACAGCGGGTCGTCGGGGAAGCGAGCACGAACGCGTTCCACGTGATCTGGCAGACCGTCCGCCTGTTGATCGGACAGCGTGCCGCCACTATCCCAGAGAAGGTGACGCATAGCAGAAACTTCATCCGCATGAGCCGCCCCACAGAAAGAACACGTGCTGGCCAAATGCACTGCCCCGGCGATGACGGATCGGAGTGCCACCACTTGAGGTCTCCCCCACGCCGGAGTCGACATATGATCTAAACTGCGAGGCGGAGGTAAGTAAGGTGGGCCAGCACAGAATGATGAGGGGCCGTTTGTTGCCAGCCCCATACATCCGCGTCCCAAGCGACCATCTTCTCGACATCGCGGGCGAAACAATAGACACATCAACGTGCAAGCCCTGCGGATTGATCCAGACGGTGGTGGATTTGAAACTCCACCCCAAACGTAAGAACGTCGCCACTGTAGTTGACGCCGGGCCATGGAGACTGTCCCAGCAGGTGTCTATGCGAACAGCGTCACCGGCCCATTTGAAGGTCTCGTCCACGAGGTGCTGCGGCGCCAAGGAATCCGACCGATAAGCAAGATAAGCTAACACAACCTCGGTATGGGCAGGAACCGCTGGGTTGACGATTCTTTCCATGGCCAAGTCCATAGTAACACAGCGGTGTGACCGCGAACACATAGCGACGCGATAAGCAGAACGTATTTGCTGGATGTGCACTGTTCATCCCTGTAACTCCAGACCCATCCATAACAACCGGCTGAAGACCAGAACGGACAAGACGTCCCACGCTAGCCCCAGCCTTGCGCAGACGAGCCGTCCGACGTGCACGACGCATAACGTCTTTCATGCGCGCCTTGCGCACGTGTCGCAGTAGCCCGCGCCGGGGTCGCAGACCGAAGTCGATCCCCAAATTCCTGGCGTTCTGAGCTCGGGGCGAAGACCGAAGCACAGGGACGGCCTGAATGACGACCTCGGCCAGCGCGGGGTCGGACGTCAGCAAGGCCAACTTGGGCACAGACACTGGGAGCCGAGCAGAGGCCTGAACATCTCGAGCCCGAAGCTTTCCCCAGGCTGCCCCTGACCAGGGGTCACAGGTCGACCCCTGGACCCCCCTGCTGGGGCGCGTTCTGACCAGAAGCTTGGGGCGGATCCAGCCGTGACCACGAGGGCGCACTGGGACAACTTTCTTTTGGTCGTAGCCGCAGGCGAAAGCGCAGGCGGCGAGAAGGGTGTCCGGGCCCACGGGCAAGCCTAATTAGCTACAAGGCGCAGCGCGAGCCGGCACTGGCACAACCAGAGGCGTGCAAAACGCCGACCTCGATCTCCTGACCTCGCGAGCTCCCTCTCGGCCGATCCCCGTCCCCAGTAGCTCTCGGGCCATAGACTCGGGCCTCCGGCGGCCCGTCGGGGCGACTTCTGGGCCCCCCGCGGGACGCTCTCGACGAGGCGCCGCCGATGGATCGCCCCCCCCCCCCCCCCCCCCCACACTTCGAACACCAAAGAGAAGAACCTGAAGGCCTGATGAGCTCCGTGGAGACATGGCAGACAGCCTGGGGCCCAACACGGGGCGCGACTGCACTGTGGAGGTGGAAGCTGTGCGGCGTAAGCCCGCTGGGCCAGCACTGTTTGGGGGTCGCCGCCCGCCGCTCTGTGCCTGCCCGTCGATGTGGCGGCTGCGTGGTCGCCGTCGCCGCCCTGCTGCCGTCTGGGCCTGCGCTACTCTGCTCTGCCGTGCGTTACGTTGCGTTGCATTCCATTGGCTTGCACTGCTTTCTTTGAGTTGCATTGCGCTGCTTTGCGCTCATTTGCGTTACCTGGCATTGCCTTGCCTTGCTTTGCGTTGCGTTGCTTTGCGTTGCTTTGCGCTGCTTCTCCTTGCTTTGGGTTGCATTGCGTGGCTTCACATCGCTTTGTTTTCCTTGCCATTGCTTTGCGCTGCTATTGCAACAGGCGTGGTACAACATAGGCTGCATCACATATACTGCACCACATTGGCTGCACTACATAAACATTCACCACGCACACACACATACATATATATACATCTAGATATGTGTATACATACAAATATGTATTTATAAATATATGTATATGGGCCATCTCAACCTATACATACATACCGATATATTGCATAGTCTAACTTGCATCACATACATTGCACATGCAGCTCGCACCACATGTATTGCACGGCATAGCTCACACCACATATTTTGTGCTACATAGCTTGCGCTACATCTATGGCTAAACATAGACCGCGGCACATTGCTTACACCCCATACATTGCACCACATAGCATGCTAGAACACACTGTTTGGGGTCCACGCTGGCGAACAGTGAACATTCTTGCGAACCTGGTGTACTTTGTATGATTTCGACATGTGCGCGCGCGTGTGGACTTGTCGCCTTCTTTGCAATGGGTTCTTGAAACATGTTGCTTGTTTTGCGAGAGACGAACGGCGCGAACAGTATTTGACAGGGATGAGGGGGGCGATACCCAGCCTTCCTGGGATGGTATGATTTCAAATGGAAAATGACCGACAAGGCAGAACCGTGTGTAATTAGCAATGTCCCAAAAGAGGGGGGGATCGATATGTCCGGGGGCGAGAGGGCGGTAGAGTCTACTCTTTGAAAGCAGAATCTATGTGGTGAAAGCTATGTCGCGAAAGCAACCGTGCGCAAGCTGAAACCCCGACGCACCCACCCAGCGCACGAGGCGGCAACGAGGCGGCAGCAGCTAGGCACCAACCGAAACCCCGACACACCCACTCAACGCACGAGGCTGCAACGAGGCGGTACTAATCTGGCACCAACGGGGACCCCAACATACCCACCCAGCGCACGAGGCGGCAACGAAGCGGCCACGAGGCGGCACCAACTGGGCACCAGCAGGAACCCCGACACGCCCACCCAACGCACGAGGCGACAGCGAGGCGGCAACGAGGCGGCACCAACTGACTGGGGACCAGCCGAACCCCCGACACGCCCACCCAGTGCCTTTTTTTCACACAAGTAAGAACCACTAAGTGCAAGCACTGTTTGGGGAACACACATCTACCTTTATGTGTATCCATCTACATACTCTATGGCAAACATACGTACGTCTACATAGCCATACTTACATCTATACAACTTTCAAGACCCAACCAATCTCATCCTCATCCCTCCTGTTTGTCGCCCACCACACAGCGCACGAGGCGGCAAGGCAACCAGGCGTTTTCGCACTGTGGAAGCGTAACCTCTCTGGTGAAAGCTACGCCGTGTACGCTGTGTCGAGAGAGCTGTGGGCGTGAAAAGTTTGCGGTGTACGCTGTGTGGTGAGAGCTCTGCGGAGTGAGCTACGTGGTGTTAAGCTCTGCAAGCGGGCGGTCACGAGCCAGCACATGGCGAATCCTCGACGCTGCCGCCCACGCGACAACGGGCGGCAACGAGCGGCGACGGGTCGGAACGTGGCGAATCCTACGCCCACCCACCCAAGCGGCAACGGGCGGGAACGTGCCGAATCCTCGACGCACCCACACAAGCGGCAACGAGCGGGAACGGGCCACAACGTGGCGAATCCTCGACGCACCCACCCGATTCCTTTGGAGCAGAGGTGAGAAACCCCAAGTGCAAACGCTGTTTGGGGAGCTTCCGAAACCTTATTCTTCTCAGGGGGCGAAAGAACGGTATAGCCTAAACTTTTCCGCCGCCGTTGACGCCTGCTCCCTGGGCGGCTGAAAGCTTATACCCCTACGGTGCCACGTAGGGGTATAAACTTCCAGCCGCCCGGGGAGCAGGCGTCAACGACGGCGGCAAAATTTATGCTATACCATTCTCCGCCCGCTCATCTTCGAGAGCCTATCCTCCCCGCCCGAACCCTGCCCCCGAGAGGAGGGCTCCTGCTGCCGGCCCATCATGCTCTGCCCCGGCGCGTGCGCCGCCTGGTCCAGCCCGAGCAGCGCGCGCGTCGCGGGCGACCGCGACGCGATCGTGTCGTCCTCGGCGGATGCAGGCGATGGAGGGAGGCATCGGGAATCAGAGCGCTTGCGAAGCAACCCGCGGCGGAGGAGCAGGGCGGGGAGGAGGCATGGAGGAGGGCGAGGAGAGATCTGGTGCAGATGGTTTAACCAAGAGTAGTAATAAGCATAAGAAGAAGACAACTAATAAACACAATGAAAAGAAGAAGGCGCCCAGACACGCTCGGTCTGGGAATGCCCTGGCTGGGTGGGGGAACGGACCTCACTGGAAACCGCGATCGCTGATCAGCAATGGAAAAGTCCCCCGCCCCGCGCAAGGCATTGTGGGCTGCTTTGAGAAGGCCCGCAGCTGCTGGGCCTCCAGGCCACCTCAGCAGAGGACGTGCTCCCACAGCCCATTTCGCGCCCCCCTCCCGAGGGCTCCGAAGCGGACTTGTTCGGCGAATGCCCCGATGTCCACGCGGGGGCCAGGTGGCTCCATGCGGCCGCTGAAGGAGCCTCCGAGCACCAGGCGCACCCGCTCCTGTCCGAGGCTGGCTTCGGAATCTATTGCGGGCCTGATCGCGGGCTCGACCACTCAGCCCGGGTGCACACGCGCTGAAACCCTCGCCCTGCTCAGCCTCATTTTAAGCCATCCTCGCAGGAAAGCCGCCCCAATTCACTGGAACCCTGGCCGATCGCTGACAAGTATCCATCGGGTGATGCATGCCGAACCTGAAACGTGCAAGGTCCAGAAAGTTGAAAGCAATCTCGGTGACCAAGGCTTGAGCGACGGTCGTCTCGTGCCGATCGCAAAGGCTTTCAACCGCCAGGCAGATGAACTCGCGACTGCTGGAGCACGTCTGCATACCCTGCAGCAAGAGATCATCGACGGAACCAAATGGCGACGCAAGTTCGTGGTGGTGATCTACAGCACTGTTGTCGCGATCCATGACCGTCGCCACCACATGTTGCCCTTGCCAGACAGACGCGCGCGTTACTCTAGGGCTGACCTCGGCAAGATGAAGACCAACCCGCTCACAGTGGGGCAAGGAAATGACGAGCCACCAGGCTCACCTGGCGATCCCTCGCAACTGGAGGGTCCACCAGGGCTGGACTTCCTCGACGATCTCGACGACCAAGGGGGGGGCTCCGCCGACGACTTCGATGGAAGAGGCGAGGACACACTGGGGTTAGGTTCGGCCTTGGACAACGATGAAGAAACCACTGCTGCTCCACCGGGAGGGCACGGTAGCGACGGTCATGGCGCCGACGACGAGAGCACGGACCGGCGTCAGCAAAGGCGCACGGGAACGGTACCTCAAAGGGCGGTAGTCCACCAGGACCCCGCCTCCGTGGCCACCGTGCGTAGCCTCCACACTGTTTCCTCCTCCTGCCAGGGTGCGGGGACTGGCGCCCGCCCTGCCGCCCAAGAGGGTGCAGACATGTGTGGAACACTCATGCAGCGAAGTGATCGCAGGCACGCCCTCGCGCAGCACCTTATGACTGCCAGGCAACAGTAGCCCTGCCGGGAACGTGAAACGGTTCTCATCGCTAGCATCGCGGCGTTGCGACAGCGTGCCACAAACCTTGGGCATACCTTTGTTTCAACCAGGAACAGTCTAGCCCTCAGCTGGGCAGATTCCAACGAGGTATCCCCGCATGGAAAGACCAACAACAAGCCTTCCGTCCGAACGCTTCTCTCGGGGCCACTCTCCAGGAAAACCTCCAGGCGCACTTCGAAGCTCACCGCTGGCATGCCAGTGCCAGCCTCTCCACCCTCGGGCGCGCTGCGAGAACAGCTGGCACGTGTTCTGCGGCCTGTGCTCTGGGCCGCTGCGGGGATGCCTCTGGGTGGCGCCACGGTTCACCGAAGTGCCGATGCGTGCAGGCCAAAGCGAGCTGTAAGCTGGCGCCTGTTGCTCGGGTGTGCAGACGGGGCGTGGCACGCCATGATCACCACGGATCCGTCTTCTCTTTTCCAATCGGGGATCCCCTAGTCCGCGCCAGGGGGGAGGGTGTTTTTCCGCACCCAGCTCGCTGAGCCAGGGCAGACAGACTTGTCCGAAATGTTGCGCCCTCCTCTCCTCCCTTCTCTCCTCCTCCCCTCCTCCTCGCCTCGGACGATCGATGATCCCCAGAACGCGTGTTAACGCCACCGTGTGATTGTCCGTCGAAGCCCTTCAGTACAACGCAGGCGGTGCAATGAATCATCGGTGCAGCTGAACAGGGTATACACATTAGGCTAACACACGTCATGTATATGTATGTGTGCATGCATGCATACATACATACATGCATGCATGCGTGTATGTATGCATGCATGCATGCATGCATGCATGCATGCATGCATGTATGTATGTATGTATGTATGTATGTATGTATGTATGTATGTATGTATGTATGTATGAATGTATATATGTATGTATGTATGTATGTATGTATGCATGCATGCATGCATGCATGCATGCATGCATGTGTGTGTGTGTGTGTGTATGTTTATATGTATGTATGCATGTATGTATGTATGTATGTATGTATGTATGTATGTCGGTAGGTAGGTAGGTCGGTCGGTAGGTAGGTCGGTAGGTAGGTAGGTATATGTATGTATGCATGTCGGTCTGTCTGTCTGTCTGTCTGTCTGTCTGTCTGTCTGTCTGTCTGTCTGTCTGTCTGTCTGTCTGTCTGTCTGTCTCTGTCTGTATGTGTGTATGTATGTATGTATGCATGCATGCATGCATGCATGTATGCATGTGCGCATGTGTGTATGCATGCATGCATGCATGCATGCATGCATGCATGCATGCCGCTCTCCCACGCCGGGGGGGGGGGCGGTCCTCGAAGTCGGCGTCCCAGCCGCTGCCTGGAGGAGGGGGGAGGGGGGCTGGCGGGCCGCCCCCCCCCTGCGGTGCCGCACGGGCGGCGCGGGCACCCGACCAGGCTCCGCAGGAGCTTCCCCGTCCGCTCCCCTGACGGGGCTCGGGCAGTTTTTTGGGGGGGAGAAGAGGGAGGGGCAAGCAGGAGGGGACGATGGCGGGCAGCATGAGCGGACTCGGTGCGCGGGCGAGTTTCGCCACTGCTTAGGAGAACGCTCTCCCGTTAAAAGGTGGCTGTTTTCCCGCCGACGGGGGTGCAGAGAAGCGGAGGAGGAGGAGGAGGAGGAGGAGGAGGAGGAGGAGGAGGAGGAGGAGGAGGAGGAGGAGGAGGAGGAGGAGGAGGAGGAGGAGGAGGAGGAGGAGGAGGAAGGAGGGAGGAGGAGGAGGAGAGGAGGAGGAGGAGGAGAGGAGGAGGAGGAGGTGGAGGAGGAGGAGGAGGAGGAGGAGCCCCCCCTCCTCCTCGTCCTCCTCGCCGTCGTCCTCCTCCTCAATGGCTCCCGGGTTCGCGCTTCGCGCTTCGCAAGGGGCGAACTGCGAGTGACTTCGCGCTCTCGCGCCGCCCCCGCGGGTGTGGCCCCGACCGCCGTCGTGGGCCCAGACCGCGACGCGCGAAGCGCGAATAGCTTCGCGCCCTCGTGGGGGCCTCGTGCACCTCGTTTCCGTCGTCCTCGTCCTCGTCGTCGTCGTCGTCGTCGTCCTCCTCCTCCTCCTCCTCCTCCGCCCCTCGAGCCTGGAGGATCCTTCTCTTCCTCCTCCAGCTGCTGTAGACCTCGGCGTCAGACCGTACCCCATCATCTTCTTCTTGCTCACTTGGACGGTCCTCCGTACCTGCCGCCTTTGGGGGAGCTGGTTGGACGTTGAGGTCGGCAACATAGTACTTGCTTGCACGCAGTACTGAGCGGGTCGCTTCACTTCTCTTCGGAATGTTCATTACGTGAGCACCTGTCTTCTGATGGGACATCGGCGCTACACCGTTTGATCTGGAGCTGCTCAGTGTTGTGGGCAGGTCGGCGCACAGATGTATTGCTGGCGCACGGGGGACGAGTTCGAGCGAGGTTCCTGGCGGATCCACTGTGGCACTCAGCCTTGGTGCCTGACCCTGAGCGTCTCCTATCCAACCCCCTTCAGTGCTTCGAGGTCAACTGGCACTTCCCTGGTTGCCCCGATCAACCCTTGTTTAATTCGACCGTTTTTGGCGACGGCTCTGGCCTCTCTGGGCCGTCCCCGCGGGCCCTTCGATGTGGCTTTTCGCCGCAGCCGTGAGTCCTAATGGATCTGCGCGCAGTGGCCGCTTACGGAGCCTACCCTGTATTACATCAGTGTGTTCCTGGGTCGGGAGTCCCTCGCATCATTAACCTTCCTGCTTCATGCTGCACCTGATCAGTATGGGCGCTGCGATTACCTCCGCGATTAACCAATGGGTGATCGATGCGTGGTCGGCCCCAGGGGCCCGCTCTGCTTCGGGGTGGTCCCCGCACGCTGGCATTTGGAGGCGCATCCGTTTCAAAGCTAGGGACATCGGGTATGCATAATCTCGTGTGCGCAAGGTGGAAAGCTCGTGTCGATGTCATGTCGCTCGCCCAGGCGGCATGGCTGACCATGGGCATTACGCGTGCTGATGCGTACGCTCGCCGCGGAACGCGGCTGCATCCTGTAGACACTGCCGCTATGGGGCACTTGTCCTGCTCCCGTGTAGTGGTAGAGCATGTGGGCATGTTTGTGGCTCACATGGCCGCCAGTGCCCTCGAGAAATTTGAGGGTCTGCCCCGCACAGCCCCTCCTACACCTCCTCCCTCTCCCTTGTTTTCCCTCCTCGAGGTGTGCCTCATGAGCTGGTTTGGGACCAAGACGTCCTGCGTTTCCGATGCGTGGCGTGCTGGTCGTACAGTCGCCACAATCTCGTCTTGGCGAAAGCCGCCTGCACTGCCCCTCGTGGTACGGGGCATGTGGTCTTCAAGACGGGCAGATTTATATTCTGTAAGTTCTGTGGTTCGTGCTCGGCCACCAATGTAGCACATCTTGCGCCCCAATGCAATCAGACGACGGCCTCTGCCGCAGGCCGTGCCCGTCTCGGGCGCCTGCTCGGCGGACTCGACCCGAAGCGGAGTGTGTCCCTGGGGCCAGTGGTCCCCGCCAGTACACTGAGCCTGGGGATTCCACCGCAGTGGGCCGCACTTTAGCCTTGGTCCCGCACCCTTCTTGAGGGGGAGGAGGAGGAGGAGGAGGAGGAGGAGGAGGAGGAGGAGGAGGAGGAGGAGGAGGAGGAGGAGGAGGAGGAGGAGGAGGAGGAGGAGGAGGGTAACACGGTAACGCCGCGCACGCAGCTCTGCACCCTGCAATCTCAGCGGTGCCGGCACGCGGCGTTGCCGTCGCACGGCAGGAGTGCGGAGCATTAGCAGCTCTGCAGGAAGGACGCAGTTACGACAGAGAGCTGTGTAGTCAGTTGCGCGCTCACTTGGGCTCGCATGTAAGGAGGTGCGCGTCCCACATCGCACACCTTTGATGTGTGGGTGGTGCGTGGCCGCCCCCGCAGAGATGGCTGATGATTGGTATGACGTGTATGTTTATTGCTGTGATGTTGTGACTGGGGAGAAAAGGGCCACACCTTGTTGTTGCATGCCGGGGCCTTTTTTTCCGACCAGATTGGCCATATTGCTGGTGCGTCTCACGCTCGGGCGCGTTCGCCCGCACATTCGACCTTCTCCCAAGCCGGTTTCGCTGTCTGTTTCACTCTGTCTTTTCTCGGACCAGGCAGGCCAATCCATCATCCAACATCCTCCTCCTTCCTCTCCTCCGACTCCTCCGCCTCCTCCTCCTCCGAGGAAGGAGGGGGAGGAGGAGGAGGGATGAGGGGAGGAGGAAGGTACGAGGAGGAGGAGGAGGATGAGGAGGAGGAGGAGGCGGAGGAGGAGACGGAGGAGGAGGAGGAGGAGGAGGAGGAGGAGGAGCAGAGGGAGGAGGAAGAAGAGGAGGAGGAGGAGGAGGAGGAGGAGGAGGAGGAGGAGGAGGAGGAGGAAGGGAGGATGAGGAGGAGGAGGAGGAGGAGGAGACGGAGGAGGAGGACGACGAGGACTGGCGACGATGCCCTCTGCGCTGCCTTGGTCCCGGTAGGCCGTGGAGGGCGGGTCCTCGCCCTCGCAGGTGCGGAAGTTGGCCAGGTCGCGCGCACCGCGCACCTGTCCAGGACGTCGTCGTCGTCGTCGTCGTCGTCGTCGTCGTCGTCGTCCTCGTCCTTGTCCTCCCTTGCTTTATCGCAACCTTCCTCCTCCGCCTCCTCCTCCTCCTTCTCCTTCTCCTCCTCCGCCCAACCCTTGCCCCCGCCTCTGCCACCTCGTACCCCTCCCTTCCCTGGTCTTCGCCGTCCTCCTCGTCCTCGTCGTCGTCGTCGTCCTCCTCCTCGATCTCATCATCCTTCCAGCGGGGGGGAAGCGGGCCCTGAGGGAAACGGGTCCTGGATCCTGGGGCCTTCCCCCAGGACGAGATCTTCATCCAGAGTCGTCTCCTGACAGTCCCGCGGCCCGAGGGCCCGAACGCGGCGAAAAAACTTAGGACCCGTTTCCCTCAGGACCCGTCTCACTTATGGCGATCCCTGCTCGAGGAGGAGGAGGAAGGAGGAAGAGGACGAGGAGGAGGGCCCCTACACGGGTTCATTTCCACTGAGGGAACTGCCTCGTTGGAAGACACCGTTTGACGACCCTGAAACACTCCCAAACATTTTTTCTCGGGGCTCCAGCGCCACGGAACAACCTGACTTTTGCGTCTTGACGATTCTGAATCGTGCCAAAACGCCATTCCTTGGACTTCAACACCGCGAATCAACGTAACTATTGCACCCTCGTTATCCTGAATCCTTCCAAGACAGAGTTTCTGGTACGTTGGCCATGAGAATCAATGAAACGCTTGAAGATGATAAGAACGAGTGTGCGCGGCGCTAAGACGACAACCACATTTTGAAACAGAGCCACCCTCAATCCGTGAAGCCCTTGCATTTTTTTTTTAAACGAGTGTGCGCGGCACTAAAACGAGAACCACATTTTGAAAACGGGTCGCCCTCAATCCGTGAAATTCCTGCTCATTTGTAAACCGCATGTGCGCGGCGCTACGGCGAGAGCAACATTTTGAAAACTGGTCGCCCTCAATCCGTTAAGCTCTTGCAACTTTTTAAACGAACGTGCGCGGCGCAAAGGCGAGAACCACATTTTGAAAACTGGTTGTCCTCAATCCGTGCAGTTGCAGTTCTTGCAATGCTTAACACGGATGTGCGCGGCGCTAAGGCGAGAGCCACATTTTGGAAATGACCCGCCCTTCATCTGTGAAGCTGTTGTCAGTTTCGAAGCATCGGGGTCATACGTGGCCAGGAAGTCTCAGGCGACACTCCCGGCCCGCCCTAAAACTGGCATCGGGGTGCGACAGGGGGAACCTATTTGAGGAGGGGGAGGAGGAGGATGAGGAGGATGAGGAGGACGAGGACGAGGACGAGGACGAGGAGGAGGATGAGGAGAAGGAGGAGGGATAAGGAACAGGGATCAGGAAATTGGATAAGGAGGAGGGGAGGGGAGCAGGGCAGAGGAGGAACATGGGGGGATGCGGGAGGAGTGAGGAGGAGGAGGAGGAGAGGAGGAGGAGAGGAGGGGAAGGAGGAGAGGAGCGGAGGATGAGGAGAGGAGAAGAGGAGGGAGGAAGAGAAGGAAGGAGGAGAGAGGAGAGGAGGAGGAAATGGGAGAGGAGGAGGAGGAGGAGAGGAGGGAGAAGGAGGAGAGGAGGAGGAGGAGGTAGGAGGAAAGGAGGAGGTAGGAGGAGGAGGAGGAGGAAAGGAGGAGGAGGAAGGAGAGAGGAGGAGGAGGAGGCAGAGGAGGATAGGTGGAGGAGGAGGAGGAGGAGGAGGAGGAGGAGGAGGAGGAGGAGGAGGAGGAGGACGAGGACGAGGAGGGAGGAGGCGGAGGAGGAGGTAGAAGAGGAGGAGGATGAGGAAGATGAGGTGGAGGAGGAGGAGGAAGAGGTGGAGGAGGAGGAGGGCCAGCGTAAACCCAAGACTCATTCAAATATGTTGGCATGAGCCCTCCCTCCAAACTCCCTCTGCATAGGCCCCGTACAAGGGTTCGACTCCGCTGAAGGAACTGCCTCGCTGGAAGACAACCATTTGACGACCTTGAAGCATGCCAGAACATTAATCTCGGGATTCCAACGCCACGGATCAACCTGACTGTTGGGTCTTGACGGTCCTGAACCGTCCCAGAACGCCATTTCTGGGACTTCAACACCGCGATCCAACGTAACTGTCGCACCCTCATAATCCTGAATCTTTCCACAGCGCCATGTCTGGTATGTTGGCCATGGGAATCCGTGAAACTCTTGCAATGTTTAAGAAGAGTGTGCGCGACGCTAAGGCGACAGCCACATTTTGAAAACGAGCCACCTTCAATCCGAGCAGGAGGAGGAGGAGGAAAAGGAGGTTGAGGAGGAGCAAGAGGAGGAGAAGGAGGCGGAGGCGGAGGAGTAGGACGAAGAGGAGGAGGAGGAGGCGGAAGAGGAGGAGGAGGAGGAGGAGGAGGAGGAGGAAGAAAAAGAGGAGGAGGAAGAGGAGGAGGAGGCGGAGGAGGAGGAGGAGGGGGAGGAGGAGGAGGCGGTGGAGGGGGAGGAGGAGGAGGATGAGGAGGAGGAGGAGGAGGAGGAGGAGGAGGAGGAACAAACACTGACGCTCCAAGCTGTTGTGCTCGCGGCTAGCACAAGAAAGGAGGAGGAGGCGCAGGGAGAGGCGGAGGAGGCCCGCCGCGCGCGCCCGCGCGCCTGCGGGACGTGAGGCGCGGGCAGAGCCTGGTTGCGGAGGGCGGTCCTGTGGGCCGCGGGGGCGGCGAGTTCAACCTCGACTCTCCTCCTCCTTCTCCGCTTCCTCCTCCTCCTCCTCCTCCTCCTCCTCCTCCTTCTCCCTCCCTCCCTCCCTCCGTCCCTCCTCCATTCCTATCCTTACATCTCTTCCTCCTCTGCCTCCGTGCGCCTTCTCCTCCTCGTTTCCGTACTACCTCTCCCTCTCTCTCTTTCGATCCTCGGGTATCGAGGGTCGGATCGGGATCGCGTTTTTTTTTTTTTTGGGGGGGGGGGTCTGGTTTCTGTTATTGTTGTTTGTTTTGTTTTTGTTTTTGTTGTTGTTTTGTTGGATGTTAGTTACTAAGCAATTATTATTGTTGGGCCCCTTACAGGCGCCCTGGCGCTCTCGCCGAGGCGCCGGCTGCATTTTCATTGAACATGAGGCCCACTCTCAAGCGGTTTGGGAGACCGCCAAAACCGGCCCCCAAACGACAACGCCCCCGTTCGAGACTTCCTCCTTTTTACTCAGGGCTGGTGCTCTTGCTCGCCGCCGAAAGCAGCCGTCTCGACAAAACCAGCGCTCCCGCTCGAGACTTCCTCCCGTTTTACCTTGGACGGGCGCGCCGCTTTTTCTCTCATCGGCGCCGCCCCCAAGCTACGACAACGCTCTCGCTCGAAACTTCATCCTTTTTTACTCAAGGCGGTGCCATGCTCGCCGCCGACAGCCACCGTCCTGACAAAACCAGCGCTCCCGCCCGAGACTTCCTCCAATTTTGCGCTGGACTGGCGCCCTTTTCTCCTCCTCCTCCTCCTCCTCCTCGCCCTCGTCCTCCTCCTCCTCCTTCTGCTCCTCTTCCTCCTCCTCCTCCTCCTTTCCCTCCTCCTCCTCCTCCACCTCCTCCTCCCTCTTCCCCCCTCCCTCCTCGTCCTCCGTCTTCCTTCCTCCACCCCCTCCTCTTCTCCCTCCTCCCTCCTCCGTCCCTTTTTCCTCCCTCCTCCTCCCTCCCCCTTCACTCCTCACCTCCGTCCTCCTCCTCCTCCGCCTCCTCCCTTCTCCTCGTCCTCCGTCCTCCTCCTCCTCCTTCGTTCCTCCTCCTCCTCCTCCTCCTCCTCCCCTCCTCCTCCCCCTCCTCTACCTCCTCCTCCTCCTCCCCCCTCCTCCTCCTCCTCCACCCCTCCCTTCACCCTCCACTCCTCCTCCGTCCTTTTCCTCCCTCCTCCTCCCTCCCCCCTTCTCTTCCTCTCCTCCTCCTCCTCCTCCTCCTCCTCCTCCGTCCTTCTCCCTTTCCTCCACCACATCCTCACCCCCCCCCCCCCTCCTCCTCCTACCTCCTCCCCCTCCTCTACCTCCTCCTCCTCCCCCTCCTCCTACCCCATCCATCCCCTCCCTCTCTCTTCTCCCCCTGTTCCTCCCTCCCCCCTCCTCTTCTCCCTCCTCCTTTCTCCCTCTCGCGTCCCTATTTCCTCTCCTCCCTCCTCCTTTCCCTTTTCGCCCCCCTTGTCTCTCCCTCCTCCTGCCTCCCTCCTCCCTCTCCCTCCTCCCTTCCCCTTCCGTCCTCCCTCGTCGCTCCTGCTTGATACTTCCTAACCTTTTACTCGAGACTGGGGCCCTCGTTTCGGCATCGCCCCTGGGGGGCTTCCAAGAGTCCCTGTTGAAACTGAACTATGAAATCACTATCAGTTTTTGAGAGCATAGACACTGTGGAGGACGAGGAGGAGAAGAAGGACGGATGACTTCCAGAGACTCCAAGGATCGAGGGTCGAGGGATTGACATCAGGGATTCCTTGAGAGGGTGTGGAAGGGCAGGTGGGGGATGCGGGCATGGGGGCGGCAGCGCCTGGGGGCGTGAACGTTCAGGGTCACGCGCCGAGGCCACAGGGTGGTGGCGGGACAGTTCGAAGGAGGGGTAAGAACCACCTCGCCCTCGGAGGCACTGCCATTACAACTGCTCCTCCTTCCTCCCCCTCCTCCTCCTCCTCCTCCTCCTCCATTCTCCTGTCTATTCTCCTCCTCCTCCTCCTCCTCCTCCTCCTCTCCCTCTTCCTCTCCCTCATCTTCCCTCCCCTCCTGGTCCTCTTCCTCCTCCTCCGAGATGCGGGGCGTGCGCAAGGCGATTGCGATGGCGATGTGCCGTCCGGGCTGTGGACGTCGAAGTTGCTCGGAAGAGGTGGTGGCAATGCTTTTCTTGGGCGGGAAATCTGGGCGAGGGAATTTCGGACCCCGCACGCCAGAAACATCCCCCATGATGGGGTGTGGTATCCAGAAGGATGGATGTGACATGTGGAAGCATGGCGCATGATGGTGAAATCATTGTTGTTGTTGTTGTTGTTGTTGTTGTTTTGCATGGGGGGGGGGGTCCCAAAAGGCCTTTGGAAGTTCCGGGGGGCGTATGCGGAAGCCCAGGGACTTCCGGAGACCTCCTTTCTCCTATACAGCTTGAAGGTTGGGCGCCCGTCCTCCTCCTCCTCCTCCTCCTCCTCCTCCTCCTCCTCCTCCTCCTCCCCCACCCCGTCTTTCCTGGGATTCCCTCTCTCCATTCCCGTCTCCCCCCCCGTTCCCCTCACCCTGATAAAAAGGCAATGCCCGCCCGCTGCTCCGTGGGGACACATACGACTCGGGGCGAACAGGCTCACTGTGGTGCATGCGGTCTCACTGTGCCCCCTCCTCCTCTTCTCCTTTTTCTTCTTCTTCTTCTTCCTCCTCATTCCCGACCTTTGCTCCTCGAGGACCTGCTCTTCTTGCGGTGCTGGCGCTTCTTGGGTCATTTCGGGAACCTCCAGAGGCCGACCCCTCTGGGAGCCATCTCCTTATATCCTCGTCCTCCTCCACCGTTTTTCAACAAGTGCTCAAAGCGAATGCTACTCTCCTCTCTTCCCCGATACTGTGTCCGCGGGGCGCAGCTTCGCCCGCAGATTGCTTCCGAGCGGGCAAGATTGCCCCACCCTGGGGAGGCGGCTCTGGGTCCCCACCCTCCGATCCCTGCTGCTCCTTCCTCCTGGGCACTTCTTGTACCCAGGATGGGAGGTCAGTCTTGCGGGGGAAGCTGTAGGGGGACCGTCCTTTGCGAGCGTCACGCGCGTTCGCCCGAGTCGGCCTGCGACTCCGACCCGTCATGCGAGGCAGGCTGGGCGGAACGCATCACGTGCAGGCTCCCGTTGTTCCCACCCTGCCAGGGCTGGCCCCGCGTCGCCTCCAGGCGTGGTCACGTTCTTTTGCGCCCGCGACATGAGCACTGCGATGTACCACAAGCTCGACGGGACGCACCGCTGCGCACCGCCGATGGACTTCGCCGCTCCCTCTCCGAGCTGTGCTTCTCGGCGGAAGCCAGCCGAAGCGAACCGCCGCCGGCGCGCCGTCGGCCAGACCGCTGGGTGAGAGCTCAGCGCCGAGCAGCTATGGTGAGCTACGTACCGGGAGATTGGCGGCACGATTGATAATGTAGCTGGCGTTCCCGCTGTCCTCCTGGCCCAGCCGCTCCAGCTCCCGCAGGAGGTGCTGCTCAGTCTGGGCGTCGAGGTCTCCGCGCTTCCGCCGGAGCTCCTCTGTCTGGTTCGCCATGCCGGCATGCCGCTCCCGCACGTCCTCCCGGCCCTCCATCCCCTCGCGGACGCGCTCGAGCGTGTTTCCCGGCTCCACGCCCGCCCGGCTTACCCTGAAATCTTTTGTGATCGTGGCGAGTGGAGCCGTGCGGGCATGGTGGAACAACGCGGGGCCCTTGCATCGAGCTTAGAGCTCAATTTGGTACAGGTGCAGTCCCGCCCGGGCCAAATGCCTGGCTCTCCTCAGATCCTCGCCGCGTGGCCGTCTCGCAGCCTCTCGTCCCTTCATCGTCCTGAGTCGGCACCCCCTGCTGACGCGTGCAACGCCTCGCATGTGCGAGCGACGGCGTCTTCGGAGACCGCCCGGCCCTGGTGATCAAGAAACCGAGGAAGATCTGGCGGCGGCACTCCGTCGGTGCCGAGGCGTTCCATGAGCAGCCTGAGTTGAGAGCAGACATTCTACCCTCCTAATAATCACCCCGACACACGAAGCCGCTTCGTAAGCGCACCCGCTGAAAGGAATCGAACAGGGCAGGGCTGCTTGATGAACGCCCAGGGCCGTTCAGCAGACGCCAATGATCGGGTCCGGGTGGTTTTTCCTCCCTTGACCGAGCTGGCCCTCCAAGAGGCAGACTGGGCAGCCGAAGCGGGTGTTCGCCTCGCAAGGGCCCCCCCCCAACTGCGAGCGCAAGAGGAGTGCCGCCGGGCCCGTCTCGGGGGCCCTGGCGGGAGAATCACCTCGCCGCCGCCGTGGCCCTGGCCTCCAGAACCACGGATGGTGCCGGCGCGCGCGACGGTTCCATCTCACGGAGGAGGCAGCACGTGCTGACAGAGCCCCCAACCAGCAGGGGTAGCTCGGGTCAGGGCTGACTCGGGTTCGCTTTTGATTCCGAACCCGAGTTGCCCCGGACCCGAGCTGCCCTGGACAATTCGGGCGTCCAGAGCCCCAAATTATCATGGTTAACTCGGGTCAGGGCTAACTCGGGTTCGCTTATCGGGATTCCGAACCCGAGTTGCCCCGGGCCCGAGCTACCCCGGACAATTCGGGTGTCCAGAGCCCCAAATTATCAGGGACAGCTCGGGTCAGGGCTGACTCGGGTTCGCTTTTCGGGATTCCGAACGCGAGTTGCCCCGGGCCCGAGCTGCCCCGGACAATTCGGGCGTCCAGAGCCTCAAATTATCAGGAACAACTCGCGTCAGGGCTAACTCGGGTTCGCTTTTCGGAAATCCAAGCCCGAGTTGCCCAGGGCCCGAGCTACCCTGGACAATTCGGGCGTCCAGAGCCCAGCATCATCAGGGTTAACTCGGGTCAGGGCTGAGTCGGGTTCGCTTTGCGGGATGCCGAACCCGAGGTACCCCAGTCCCCAGCTGCCCCGGACAGTTCGGGCGCCCAGAGCCCCGAATCATCACGGGTAACTCGGGTCAGGGCTAACTCGGGTTCGTTTTTCGAGATTCCGAGAAAGGCCCAAGATGGCACAGGAGGCCCCC